GGGCGGCGGGGCGGGGGCTGCGGGGCGCGGGGTTCAAACAGGCGGAGGTCGGAGGGCCCGGCAGGCCGGAGCCCCGGCGGGTGCGTGGGAGCCGAGGGTCACTTCCCGGGGGGGTGGAGGAGGGGGTCGCGCTTGACCGCCGAAGGGCACCCGCCTAGCTGTCCGCCCCGGCGCGGGGGCTGTGGCGTTGGAGAGCCGCGGGCTCCCGAGAGTTTGTGGGGTCGGGGGTGGGAGCCGGGATTTGCGGGTTCGGGTCCCAGAAGGATCCTGCGGCCGGAGCCCGAGGGCCAGCCCAGGCCCCTCCCACTCCGTCAGGTCTTTGTCCGGCGGCCCCTGTGTGTGCGGGAGGGGTGGGGGCTGGGTTCCCGGCCGGAGATTCCCCAGCACCGTGACGGGGCAGTGACAGGAGGTCGGGGCTACTTCGGTCCCTGCGCGTCGGCGCTGGCGCCTGGTCGGAGAGCGCAGCCCCACTTGCGAACCGAGGCGCTGCGCGAAGCTGTGCTCCCCTGAACCCCAGGCCCCCGATACAGGGAGGACCCCTGGGCTCCCGGCCCTTTAAACTTCTCCACTCTAGGAGCCCGCTCCAGGTCTGCTCCGCCGGGTTCCCAGGCTGGGACCCTCCGTGAGCGTCCTCCGCAGTGTGTTGGGCACACAGTAGGCAAATGTTGGGCCCCCTCCGCCCCGCGTCCCTCTTGGCCAAGGGCTGCGGAGGGCTCTGCGCGGGGGAGAGTGGAGCGGCCTGTAGCCTGTGCCCCGCGGCGGCCGGGAGCGCAGGGGTGGGTGGGCTGTTAAAGGGACCGTCACTAAATCAGGATTAGGCCTTGGGGCTGTCAGCCTGCCGGCCCGGTCTCCATGGATACCTAATTTGGAGGAGAATAGAGGACGGAAGAATGTTTGTGTTGTCGTCCGCACGGGCTGCAGCGGCAGGGAGGGCTCCTGGCCTCCGCCCCACATCGAGGAGTGGGGACCCGGTTCCAGTCCCACTCTGGGCTTACGGCGTGGGGACTTGTCTGTTCCCCGCGCCCTGAAGCCGTCCGGCCTGCGGAGAGGGCCAGGAGCTGCTGCGGTCCAAAGACCTCCCACCGCACAGAGGGTGTCCCGGACCCTTCCAGAGTCCAGTCTGAACCCCCGGAGCATCTTTTTCAAGTCAGTCCCTACCCGGAGCCCCCTAGGTTGGAAGCGAACGACACTCCGCGGTCTCTTAGCCCCACATGGAGGGATGCTCTGGGTAGCTCGCGGCGACCCGGGAGCTGGGAGCCCAGCTCCAGTTGCCGCTCGCTCCGGAGCCGGAGCAGAGGGGCGGGGGCAGGGCGGGACTTACTGTGGTGGGTGAGGAAAGGGGCGGGGCTTGCCGGGAGCGTAGTGCTGGCCCGGGTGACAGGCCTCGTAAATCCCCCTTTCCCTATTTAACACCATTTCATTTATTTCCACTTGATTCCATTGATGTCCGCAGCAGCCAGAAGCGACCCTCGTGCCCTTGCTGTAATATCTTCGGGGGGAAGCGCTCTTGGGCCAAAGGGGATTTAGCTGTGTGGAGCAGTGGCGTTGCTCTTCGTGAGACCCAGATAACTTCCAGTCTTCAGAGAACCCCCATTTCCACAGAAGAGGGGGGCGGAGAGACACAGGGATGCGTCTGGTCTCCCAGGCCCTGCCTGTGTGAGCCTCTGGCTGTGGGATGGCTCTGAACTGGCCCCGGGCTCCCTGGCTGGAAAATTCCAGTCCACAGCTGGAGGGAGGCAGAGGAGAGGGACCCAGACCCCAGTGTGGTGCTCCAGAGCGCTTTCCTTTCCACTGGTCATCCATGGCCACATCTTTTTATGGTTCAAAAATCCCCTCCCCTCCCCTGCCTGGGCTGCTGCTTTATTGCTGAGATCTCAGACTCTCCACGCAATTTCACGCCTCTCTGCCTTTGCTCCTGCTGTTCCTCAGCCAAATGCCTTCCCATTGTCCCTGTCCTGCCACAGCCTCCTCATTCTTCAAGGCCCAGCTCAGATGCCACACTTCCCACTGCAGCCTCCCCGGATCTCCCTGCTCTTGTCACTTACCTCCCCCTGCATGGTCTCCCAGTCCTGCACCTGTGCCTCCCTTTTGCCTTTATGACCGAGTCCAAATTAGGCTTTGCCTCCAGAGGACAGAGCTGGAGTATATACACCCCTGCCCTGCCCACCTCCAGAGCTTGGCACCTTGTGAGTGCCGCATAGATATTTGTTGGCTGAATGAAAGGGACTTGTAAGAGCATTTAGCCAGACCGCCCACCAAACATGGAATCAGGCCAGCTTCAGGTAAATAGCTCTGTCCTGTGGACCCCACCCAGGGGTCTCCTCCCCACCCCCTTCCTCTTCCTTTTCTCCCTCCTCCTCCAACTCCTCCTCCTCTTCTACCTCCTCCTCCATGACTCTCCCCACCCCCTAAGTCTGGGGAGGACTTTGCCCCTTCCCTTCCCCACAGACCAGCATTCTTTCCCTGCCATTATCATCCTGTTAAACAGAGAGGCCAGTCAGGATCCATATGGATCACATTAACAATTGCTTATTATCTGGGCCAAGGCTCCCCGACTCTCCACCCCCAGCTGCTACTGCTGCAGTTACTGGACCCTTAGGAGCCCAGGCTCTCCCTGCCCCCACCACCGGTCAGGCAAAGAGGGCAGGGGACAGGCTGGTCTCCCTCACCTTCCCGGGGCCTTCTAGCAGAACTTTGCCTCTTCTGGACTTGGCAGTTAATGACTCCTTTACCTTATTTAATGAAAACCAGGCTCCTCACAGAAGCCTGGCTCAGCGAGGCTCCAGGGCTCTCTCTTGGAAAAGGGGACCCAAGGCCTGAATGCACCTGCGGTCCACTGCCAGGAGCCCTGCGTACAGGAGCCAGAGGCCATGGGTGGGGTGGGCCGCTCTTCACAGACCATGAGGTGTACTGGTGTCTTCTTCCATCTTAGCCTTGGGATGATCCTGCTTTCGTTTCGGGGCTGCAGGACTCATGGACAACAGGACGGAGATCCTGGGAGCTGTGTGGCAGTGGGTCCCAAGAAATAGGGCTGAAGGTGTAGCTTAAAGGTAAAGCTTTACTGCAGAGCCCTAGGTTCCACCCCCAGCTCCCAGACAAACACAGATGGCAAGAAATCTAGTTTCCTGCAGCCACAGCTGACTTAGCCTTGCAGGCTGGGGAGCAAGATTTACATTTATTTATTTATTTATTTATTTATTTTTCTGGTACTGGGAATCGAACTCAGGACCTTGCACCTGCCAGGCAGGCACTTGTGCCACTGAGCTAAATCCCCGGCCCTAAGATTTACATTTAAATACAACCCAAGAATACTTGGGCTCTGGAAGGAAGGGGCCTGTGGGATTACTCAGGCTGGTGGTCACTGGGCTGGGCTGTAGCTCAGTGGTAGAACCCTTGAATAGCACGCAGGAGGCCCTGGGTTCAACCCACAACGCTCCAGAAAAGCCAGTCTGGAGATTTATAACTTGTTTTGATGTGCAAAGCCCTCAGACTGATGCCATTTCCCAAAAGTGCAATGCCATTCATCGAGAGGAGAGCTTGCATTCTCCTTTAGAGTGCTCTTGGACACTCTGAACCCCCTGGGACCCTAATCCAGAGCTCCTCCCCCTCGTATGCCCTCTGTGAGGTGCTAGGGGCAGAGTCTGATCTGTAGCCCAGGTTTCCTGACCTCCACACTGTGCTCGCCCATGGTCTTGTTCTGGCAGGGGACAGCGTGACACAGGGCCAGTGGTGGTGCTGGAGATACTGGGTCAGGCTTCAGGAGCGTGTGTTCACGGTGCCTGTCACGGTCTGGGTTGGCCACCTCATCTCCACGTGTGTGGCCTGGTGAGAGGCCTTGGACTGCTGTGTTTTGTTTTAGGGTCTACTTGTCCTACCATGGGAACAAGGGTGTGTGGCAAGAAAGCCTCTGTGTTCCTGGGGC